AGAAAGAAAGAAAGAAAGAAAGAAAGAAAGAAAGAAAGAAAGAAAGAAAGAAAGAAAGAAAGAAAGAAAGAAAGAAAGAAAGAAAAGAAAAGAAAGAAAGAAAGAGTGTTATGGTTAGATTTAATGCTTTCAAGTGTTTAACAATAATCATTCCTAATTCGTCACCAAGATAAGTCATATTCTAAAGTTAACCGAATACTCGATATCTTGCGCACTTTACGTCTGTAAAAACCGAGCTCTCCAAAACCGGATGAACACATTCAAACGAAGCACTTACTTTCCTATAAATTCTTCAATGTTTTTAAAAATCAATCCAACAATATATGTGTATCATCAAGTAGCTAGCCGGGGTGCCTGGAGGCGGTAAACTGACGGTGAGATATAAAACTCGATATACGTGCAGTAATGGAAATTAACGACAATTTATATGATCTCACTTATTAGCGAGCATTACTCAGTGTGCGGATTTCAAAAACTTTACACTGCTTGCTGCTTGGAGTAAATAACTGATCAATTGATTGTGCGAACGATATGATTTTTTAGTTTAAATTCGCTAGTGTCTCAGAAAATTGAGGATAACTTAAAGTTATTATGGAACTAAAATGGAGCAGTTTTTTATGTCAAAAAAAAAAAAAAAAAAAAGTTGGTTATATACGATGGACCTTCATCTTTAAAAATTTTAAAGTGGCGAGTAAGAGATTGTAGAGCTAAAATCAATTAAATAAAGATTTAGTTGATAATGTGGCTTAAAAGCCTCATAATAACGAAGATATTTTTGTTTCCATCGAAATAACATTGTTTCAAGATATAACCTTTTCTTTTAGGAAATGCCGTGAGTTCGAGAACTGTTTTACCACTTTAGCGCTATTGACTATAGGTTACTACAGACTTTTGGAGTCGTGCACATCATAGAAGGTTCTACAACTGCCCTACCAATTGATGTAGCTGACGTAAAGCATAAACTAGAACGGTAAAAGGTGTAGGTAATATTCAATGGTACATTCTTTGCCGCCAGCCGCCGATTAACTCAACCCTAAGAAAACACCATCTGCAAACGTTTTACTTTTGTACCAATCGTTCGCAAATCAACAAAGAGAAGTCGCTTCACGCCTTTTCCTTGTCTCTTTACTCAACGTGTTGTTGTTTGTTTGTTTCTAAGGAGAGTATCAACATTTTACTTGGACGGTACCTGCCATTTTCGGCTGTGCCTTTCGTCTCAGTAGGACGCCTAATGGGCTGTTTTAACTTTGAATCAATTTATCCTGAAAGTGATCAAGAATATCGTACTCCAAACCACACCGCCTGTTTTATTTTTATGGCATTCAGGTTAATAAACGAGTTATATATAAACGTTCAATCACTATATAAACCGATATAAGCATTTGAAGAGTACAACTATCGATCTTGTAACCAGGATTATCAGACAACTGACTTACAACCAGTTCCAGTAGCTTCACACAATGGCTAACAAAGTAGTACTTGCTGTCTGTATCTTACTGGTACTCAACATGTCTTTGATGTGCTCAGCATTTTCGAGTATACCACAACATACCTGCCGATTAGGCAATTGTCCATCTAAACCTAGTGGCAAAAGAAGAAGTGAGGTAAGAACTGTTACATCGCTGAGTGTAGAGTCTTTTGGATTTTTCCATTGATTTGAGGTTTTTTCCAAAGGTTCTCTGACTTCCAATTGGATCTGTGACAACATGGTTAGCCGTGCTCTGACTTAGATCAGCCCAGAGGTTATTTCAGGGTTCGATCTGTGACATCATGGTTAGCCATGCACTGACTTAGATCAGCCCAGAGGTTATTTCAG